AGGATGGAAGGAGTAGTAGGGATATAAAGCAGAGGATAGCGCAGGGTCGTGTCGCCTTTAATAAAAAGAAGTCACTTCTATGCTCGCGAACAGTTAATTTAGAAATTCGAAAAAGATTGTTAAAAGTGTATGTTTGGCGGCGTTGTACGGGTGTGAAACATGGACAGTGGGCGCGGCTGAAAAGAAAAGGTTAGAAGCCTTCGAAATGTGGTGTTATAGGCGAATGATGAGAATAACGTGGGTAGAAAAGGTTAGAAATGAAGAGGTATTAGAAAGAAAAGGAGAACAGAGGAACTATGGAAGTCATTAAAAAATAGACGAGATAGGTTGGTAGGACACCTTCTCAGGCAGGAAGGTCTAGTCAGAGACAAATTAGAGGCAGAAATAGGAGTTAGGAGGGGTAGAGGTAGACCTAGCTTAGATTACTGTTCGCAAATAGTTAAGGATGTGGGTTGTTCTAGTTTTAGGGAAATACGAAGTTTAGCTCAGGATAGGAAAGAGTGGAGGTACCAGTCTTGGTACTGACGACCTTATGATGGTGATAATATTATTAACACCTTAAAAATTAACTAACGAACTCAGTACTTGTAGGTATAGTCTTTCTATGAAATATAGAATAAAGTTCGTAATGTTAGTTTCAGAGTACATACAGACCTACATTTTAACTATAAATTTCGAAAAAGTATTTTTACTAGATCATTCAAATAACAGGCTACACATGTACAAGAAAAGAATAAATTGTTTCCAATAAAACTATGATTGGAAGATTTTCATAAAGTTCTATTTATTTAAGTGCATTTTGAGGGAAGACCTGTAGAAGAAGTAACACTATTTAAAACATTTAAATGTTGACTTTATTTATAATAAATCGAATGATTAAATATTCCTACGCGTTTACCCAATTATGACTAAGTTAAGTACGTACTTATATCTAAGCAACTTAATTAAAAGTTGGCCTTTATTATCCTATACAAAAATTGTTTATTTATGAACATTTTCCGGTGTTAAAGAGAAATTATAAAACGATTGGAAGTTGGCGGTGTGATTGCATGACGATTCCAAACAAAGACTGCAAAAACTCGGGGGGAAAGAACTAAGAAACTTTCTGAAAATTAAGGAAATGAAGTTTAAGGGAAAACATACTAACAGAGTTTTATTAAATACTGACCTGTACTGATGGTCAAGCTGCGCCTTTTCTATTCGTTTATCTTTCGCTCTTCTATTTTGAAACCAAATTTTTATCTGCGTTTCCGAAAGCCTTAACGTTTCTGCTAATTCGCATCGCCGACTTCGGCTGATATATTCAGATTTTTGATATTCTATTTCCAGTTGTAAAGTCTGATGACTGCTAAAAGTTGTACGTTGTCTTCGGGGACGACATTCCTTTCTGCGACGTCTTGCAACTGAAAGAGAATTTTGAAACGTAAAATTATGTTAAAATCCAAATACTACATACCTATGCATTTATTATTATTAGTAAAAGAATATCCGATTTGCAAAAACGAATAACAAACTATGTTTTCTGATAATAAAATGCTCTTAATTTTTTAATTAGGTACTTTTATACAACCAAATAAACTGAAACCGATATAATATATATATCTTCAACGTTTTGTACTCTTACAACCTGTTGTACAAATGCGGTGTTTGTATAGGTACCTAAGTAATTACGTGGTTTAAAAAATTAATCTCGAACTAAGTATCACTTAGCACATTGTGGGAAAAACGTTTAAATATGGCTTCATTCTTCCTTTAACACTTTGTGGTTATCGGAGGTGGATGTTATTAATTTAATACTTCACGATCAATTACATATTTATCGGATGTAAAGAGGAGGGTAGTTCGCGTAAATATGTATATGATGCAGTAGCAGTAGCAAAGTAAAGTTTTCAAATACGAACAAAATCTTTTACATATGTAACTAAGTATACTACAAAAATACGGTACATTTTATGATTTTCTGCTTTTTATTTATATAAAATATAGTAAAACTATCAAAGCTGACCAGGGGTAAAAAAGATTTATTAATGCAAAACCAATACAACTTTTGAAAATTAACATCTAAT